ATATACACGGCAAATATCGTCCAATTTTTTCAAATATAAAAAGTTTTAATTTCTTACTCACATTCCATATTACTTTCCAAAAAAGAAAAAGGAAAAAATCATTAAAGGAAAAAAATGATCCAATATAAAATGTTGTATCCAAAACAGCCCCAACTTAAAATTAGAACCAGAAATATAACAGAACTGGAACATAACCTAAATCGGTGCTTCTCAAACTATAATCAGAACCATGAGATAAAGGGAGAGGTTCTTATTCTTATTTATATTAAACCAGAACCCTAGATCCGAAATTGGCGGTTCCAGAACCATGGGCATGCCTAAAAATATGTATATGGAGTTGTGAGATTTGAATAAATTCCTTACAGACATATATCGTGAAAAATATTAAATTAACAACATTGATAAGTTAGGAATTTTCGTTAACTGTCATATTTTATGATATAGTAACAAAAAGATTAGTTCTATTTGCCCATAATGGAGGACATTCGAGATAAACAAAATTATATTATCGAAGCAACTATGGTTAAGTCAATTTAACCATTCAATTAGCATTAGTAGCTATTGGATTAGTACCAAGCAACAACAACCCTTGAACAAGATGTTTTGAAAGGAAATAAGACCTTTCATCCCTGATCAGCGCAAAGCATCTTGCAACCTATCCATTACTGGGTTAGAAAAAAAAATCTAATTGATAAACTTAAAAGTTTACAAATGGAGACATCAAGAACCCCATAGATGTCTTGAACTTGATTTCAGAATTTTGATCACTGATAGTAACAACCAAAATCCTTTTTTGCAAAGCAAAAAGCAATCATTATTGTAAATTTATGATGATGAGATCGTGTAAGAGCGTTTCCAGGTCCCTTCAGCTGGGAGACATCCAATAAAACTGGAATGATTCAGAGGAGAATTACAGAGAAAATATCCAAAAGTTTTCGAAAGTTGTAATTGGCTGAATATTATGTTAATTTGCCATCTTCTCAGAGTAAAATGTCCAAGTAAACCACACGAAAGACCTTTTGATCCTAATGAACTTAGATACACCCTCTGCTCAGAGATACAAAGGTAGATGAATAAAAGAAATATGAATTAGAACTGCAAAGTTGATTTTCAATTTCCTGTCCTTTCGTAGCTTAAGCTTAGCTTCTTGGCGATGTACAATATATATGTGTGTGTGTGTGTGTGTGTGTGTAGAGAAAATATTGAAATTAATGATGAACTATGGGAAACAGATTGAAGGACTACATTGTATTTCATTAATTTCAAAACAAAAGGTAGGTACCATATTTATAAACTCTCTAAACTATTAGATAAGTGTTGCTCTTGATAAAAACTCTAACCTATCAACTACTTAATAAAAATTATCACTAAGTAGGATTGGTATGGCTACATGTATTCAAACTCCTCTTGATCATTATCTTTAACATCCTCCCTCAACCTGAGTCCGGGTTAGCTTCGACTGTGTTGACGACTTCTCATCTTCATGCGGCGGTGAAAAACCTACTTGTGGACCATAATCGACTTTCAATCTTGAGTGGTTCTAGCCATGTTTTGGACAAAAGACTTGAAATTTATTGTTATATTTTTGTATGACAAGTAATTTTGTGAATTGTTAATTGTCGTATGACAAGTCGGAACTATTCTTTTGAGGGATAATCAGACGTTTGTCATATTGACAATTTTTATAGATTGACTAAGAGATGACTTTCCGTGTTGTCTGAAATTTGTCAATCAACTAAAATTAATTTATGGGAAAAAAAAGTTTGTAGATTGACTCAGAGGTGACTTTCCTCGTTGTCTGAAATTTATAGATCAAATAAAGTTGATTTGTGGAAAAAAAATATTTAAAAAAAAGAAAAAAAAATTTACGGTTCAATGGGATCGATTTATGAAGATTTATAGGTATTTTGGAGATTGTTGGGAGAATCAAACAAGAGTTTGGAATTAACAGTAGAAGAGGAGTGATTTGGGATGAATTTAGAGTTAAAACATGACACAATTACTAATATTCATGACTGAGCTAATCAAGATTTATTTGTTGAATAAAAAACAAAACAAAAATAGTAAGTAGAAGAAAAAACAAGGGGGCTGATTGAACATAGATGCGAATAGAAGACTGATAGTTTATTTCTTGAAAGAAAAAATAAGCGGAAGCATGACACAAAAGCAGGGCGGAACCTGCTATTATACCATATAGAAGTCCATGGGTTTCCACCTCAAAACTAATTGGCTATGAGGGGACTAACCTATGGAACTTATATATTGATACTCAGAGTCACCCAACACCGATGTGTGATTGGGACTCTTTAATAGATTCAGCTCCGAGCTTCCTGAATTTCCTTCTTCTAGTGTAGAAGACAACATTAAGTTGCAAAGTCAGAAGAACATTAATAGGTTGTCAAGTATTGTATATGCAAAGTATTTATATCCACATCCACATTATATAACTAAATGAATACGATACAACAGACTATTAATTTATTGTGATATTAGAAATGATCGAGAAGCAAATGAATTAGTCAACAAAATCAAATTTATCTCATTCAGGCACCCTCACCATTCCCGACAGCTAGAAAACTTTTCTCCCACAGAGTTCATTCATGAATATGGATCTCCTTCCATAGAAACAACTTCCTCCATGGGTGATGAAGAAGAAGAAGAAGATGTGGAAGCAGCAAAGAGCTTCATTGATGAAGCCCTTCTCGCATGCTTGTTAACAGGAAAAATTGGCTCATCTATCCAAAGGTTGACATGCGTTGTCAGTTCTACCCTATTCCTTTTTAGTTAGCCAATATTACCCTAAACTATCCAATTGTTAGTCAATTTTGTCCAATTTACCAATTTTTGTTTAATTAACGAAATTCTATTAGTTTTATTAAAAAAACCCTAATAGTTTTGAAAATTATAAAAATGACATAAAAAATTTGTAAAAAATAACCAAACAGTCTTTTTTCACTTTTTATTTAATTTTTTCTCTTTTCTATTTCTGTTTACTATTTCTCATAACTATAAAAATATATTATATGATCTTTTTAAAAAAATATTTATTTTTAAACACTACCGTGCAAATTTATAGATATTCATATTCGTAACTCACAGTTGATTTACATAAACTTATTAATTTTTTTTAATAATATAACTTGACAATAATGATATTATTTTTTTAATCCTTTTTTTTCAATTTAAAGAATAATTTTTTTTACCTAAAACTAATTTTTTACAAAAATTAAAATATTTAGCATAAATTAAAATTAATATATTAGTACATTTTAATTTATTACAAATTAATTAAACAGACTATAGATTGTATTATCTAATTCAAAAAATAATTAAACTAAAATATAAGGTACAATCTAGTGTTAAGGGTGTTGAGCTTCATGAGAGTAGATATAAGATTTATTCTCACCAAAGGATTTCTAACCGGGAGAGTGATTTTATCCACATTTAAACATGGTCTACTAAAGGTGAAAAGGTTGAGTTGGATGGCCAGGTGATTTAAGATTGAAGATCATTATTACTGTGTTCGAGGCCTCAATTGTCACTGGGGCAATCTATTTTTTTTAAAAGAAAAAAGGTAAAGTCCAGTATTGGAGTAGTTTTTTTTTTTTAATTAAAACTGATCGACAGCAAAGCGTGCTGTTCTTTCAACAATCAATAACCGATATCTTCAATCAATTTATGAACCGAAGCGGACTCAAAGCAATAATGTGTGTTCAGCTAACTTCGTTTGAATTTGTGCTTGTATTGAATTAAATAAAAAAAAAAATTCCCTTCTGATACGGTGGGAATTTGTTTAGCATGTTTACTCAACTGGAGCCTAAGGCTCATTGTCAAGATTCGGAGAAAAATTTTAGAAGAAAACTTAAGCCTGTGATTTTTTGTTTTATTTATTTACTTTTTTGGTGTTTTCGTTTTCCTCATCTCCTAATGGAGAACCGGAATCATTTTGGCTGTGATATTGAAGAAAGTAGTCTATGAGGTTTGGTTAATGAAACAGTCGTTTGTTGACCTCATATAGCCTCTGGATTTTGCAAAATGAGAAATGTTCATGGACTATGTTGCATACTATCTAGCTAGCTTAGTATAATGATAAGTTTGATTCATCTTTTAAATTTGGTTGCCAGATCGTGCAAAAGCTGTTCCAGTATTGGTATTTGTTGGGGGCCTAATTTAGTTCGACTTAATTTTTTCATTTACCAACAATTTTTTTATTTTACTTATATTTCATCATCATTATAATATACCCCTGAATTTGTTTTGGGAAAAAATGGTTGTTTCTTTGATGAGATTTCCATGGGAATAACGAGAAAGACACAATTTCTTGGTTTAGAGTCTTGTATTTTATTTTGTGTGATATTTCGTATGATGCTGGTTAAATAGTTGACACGCGTGTATTTAATTAATTAATCACTAAAATTTTGATTAAATAGTAAGTAAATCATGTTTGAGAAGTAATTAAACATTTATCAAAATTTTAGTTAATATCAGGTGTAACACAAAAGTATTAAAAAAAATCTTTTGCCAGTTTGTTTCTAATAGGCCATCAGTTAATTCATTGCTTTATTGGGGTTAAGAACTCTGGATAATCTGATTCTATTACGGTTGAAAAATAGATGACTTCTTCTAAATTAGGGGGAAAAGGAAGAGCAGGGAGGAAAGGGGGACAGTTTTTAAAAGAGTTTGATGTTGTGCTGATGCCAATCTGATGATGTTTGTATCGGATTTAATGCGACACGCCCCATTTTATCTTTGTAAAGGAAAAAAAAATTTTTAAACGTACAATTTTAGTAAATATGACCAGATTAGTGGGTTAGGAATTAATATGGATTCATTATAATGTTTCTTAGCCATGAACATATTTCTTATGCTCAATTTTGAGTAGATAAAGTTTAACTAAATGGTTCAGTAAAAATCATTGACTGGATTATAAAATTTTTCTTATAGAATTCCAGTTATGTGTATCTGCTCAAAATTAATTTACAATTTTTGTTAAAAGAATTGCGTGTTATTAAGAGTATTATTTTATGTAAATAAATTATTCATTGATACGCTGATCATGCATATTCAGTGATCGATAAGGTAATATATTTTCACTATCAGTAATAGTAGTACTCTTATTAAGAACTTATACAGATGACAATTTGACGTCATCGTTTGATGCACTATCGATTCCCTTTTTATCATCAGTTAATTCAAACCCTAATTTGTCCTCGGTTTGCTCTTTGATTTTTCCCCATAGCACACAATAAAGTCCCACCACCATCAAAACTGCACCTAATATGCTGAAAAAGAAAACAACCACCGCATAATTAAGTTCAGTTGCGTCGCCTCTGTAGTCAGCAATTGAAATGAAAAACTCATGATTATTGGATTTTGGTAAGATAGTACTATAATCATCGAATTGTCTGTAACAGAAAAAAGATATAAATTCAGCTTAGACTTATAGCATCGAGAAGTATAGCAAATTTGAAGAGGGCTTGTTATAGACACTAAGGAGATCATTTGTTCGGGTCATGTGTGACCTAATCTAAACAATAGCCTTTAGCACAAATTGATTGTTTGTCAAAATGAGAAACAAGTGAAAGTAGATCCTTCAAAATTAAGGAACTAAATAAGTAATTTTGGATGAAAAAAGAAAAAAATTTTCTATCGCAAAATGAATGTTAAGTAAAGTTTATTTTTTTACCGTAGATTAAATAGAGTAGATAAAATATTATCGTTACCTTCCTAAGCTGATTATCAGCCCAAATAGAACAGCAGCTGAACAGACTGTAGAAATTAGGCCAAGCGGGGTCCAAATTGCTTGAAAGACAGGCCCTTTGTTATCAACGACCCAAGCTTGTAAGTGGAAAGTTAGACCACTAATAACAATTCCCTTTAAAAGAACAAAAGAAAAAAAAAAGGAACAAAAGACAAGGAAACTCATTTTCCGTTCAATCATTAGAAGAAATAATATAATAATTTAATCTAAATATTTTTAAAATTGTCTTCAGACTTACACAGTAAGCAACAGATATAAGTTTGATATTCCACCCAAGTTTCCATTCATTGGGGTTTCGTTCCAAAGAAATGGCAATTATGAAGCACTGAATGGCACTAAAGAAGCTCTGAAATGTTGTACATAAAAGCCTTGATGGGAAGGATTTTATCATTGAGCCCTGTTAAGGAATATCAGGAGTTCAATGTATTGCTTCTTTATCCAAAATACGTTATTTCAATTCTACTCACTCCGGTCTTATTTACAACGTGATTTAAACTAAATTTAATTATATATTCTGCATAAACAGGACTGAAAAAAAAAAATTAACTAAGAAAAGATATGCTACCTGAAATAGAAGCCAAGAGCTCCAAAATAAATAGGAAATGAGCATTAGAACTACCCCCTTTATCCAGGTGGTGGTAGAAGTAGTAGCATTTTGACCTCGATCTTGTTTTTGACTATGATTCTTGAAGATGTGATCATTCATTAATAATCTCAAGTAAGGTGGACCATTAAAGAAGGCAATAGTTAGTGCTCCTCCTAAGCATATTACAATTCCAATAATCTTTATAATCCCCGGGACAGTCCTCTTATTCAATTTTTCCATCCTGATCATACATAACAAGAAATAAATATGTAACAGGAAATAAATATATGCCACGTCAAATATTGAATAAGCGTTCTGTAAATTAATTTTCTTTTATCTCAAAATGATTGACAAGTTTGTATTTTTACTTTTAGTATAATGTAAATTAAAAAAAAAATCCAAACTACCGGACAATTATTTGGGGAAAAGGAGTATATTCTTACAATTTTAGTACTCCTTCAATGAAATGATTATCCAGATTGTGTTTCATTGTAATTAAAATTATACTAAAGCTGAAAATCTAAACATGAAAATCTCTTTAGGACAAAGAAATTAAGTACTCCCTCTGTCCCAAAATTATTGTCCAGTTTAAGATTTCACTTTTAGTACAAATTGAGCTAGAAATGAAAACTCAAACTGGACAATAATTATGGGACGGAGGGAGTATAAAACGACCTAAAGTACAAATGAAATTACACTAGGAATAACGTCGAGGATCCAAACTTTGATGTTCGACGAAGTCAGAACTGGAGTTTAAGAGTATGATCTCATTTACGCACTATTTTTTTTAAAAAAAACTACCTTAATATAACAGCAAGGATGAAAGTGAAGACTGGAATTGTACTAACAGCAGCAGAAGCCAAAGTTGCAGATGTGTATTGCAGAGCCAAGGTGTTGAGATTCCAGCTCAATGTAATTCTACCGAAACAAAGTCATACGAACTTCATCACTAACCTATTCGTATGAACAAAAATTATTCAAGATTGGGAAAAAAAAAGAAGAAAAAACACATAGACTTTTTGTTTTAGATTAATCACTCTTGTCAATATTTGAACCTACATCTCGAGGTTGCAATCTTCCACCCTTAATAATAAATATATCACACAACCCATAAATTGAATCTTCATAAAATAGTGACGTATATAACACTAGATTTTAACTATAAAATTCGACTAAATGAAAAACTTACCCGAAAAGAGAAAGCATAAAAATCTTGAAGAATGCCATGAACGTTAGAGAAGGTGCTGTTTTCCTAGAAATAGATAAAAAGGTACATCATAAAATATGATGTGACAATGAGGAAGACTCTTTCTCCCCCCTTTTCTTTATCCCCCAAAATCCAGAATTAATAAATAGATATGGGAAAAAAGAAGAAGAAAGAAACGAAAAAAATAAATAAAAATCATCGATTTACTAACCATTCCAGAAACAGCGCTATGGGAGCTAAGAAGATAGTTGCAATAGCTTGTCTGTAGAAAACAAGAATATATGACTTTAGGCCAACATTTAGAGCAACCTTCGATATCAATTGCATGCCGGTATACAGTGCTTGTATCACAACAACTGCTACGTAAGGTTTATATGAATCCATCTTGAATTTTTGGGCTTAATTTCGGTTGATAAAGCATAAAGGACGAGGAAATTAGATTGTGTCGGGAATTACAGGATATTTTCAAGGACAAGTACTTACAAATTACTTCTATGTTATTTGTGGGTTATAAAACCTTGTACATATAGATGAAAAGTGAACTAGTGGCGGGTATAGTTTATATTGGATGAGTCATTAACCAATACCTAAGTGTAAATACTGACGATTCCATTAGATGAGGAACAAAGTACTTTAATTCGAACATTATGGTAGTGTTAAGGTTTGGTTTAATATATAAAAAAAATATTCCGTAATTATTGTACTTTAATTCGAACATTATGGTAGTGTCAACATCATATATTGCATTAAAAAAAAAATCGCTCAAATGAGTTCGAAACAGCATATGAGGAGGGTACAATTTTCCATTATCACATTTGAAGTGAAAAAAAAAAAAAAATCCTTCAAACGAATTTATTTCAAAAATTAATTATACTGAAAGAGAAATCTCAACTGGATAATTATTGCAACGAACAATCTTGTTAGGTCAGGAGCAGCCGCCAGACTTGGAGTTGAATTAGTCGACCTAAAATGCTGTCGGCAGCGAGCACAACAAAAGGCTCAAGCGGTTTTTGTTCGACCTCTGCAAAACCATAAATGCATCGATGTTTTCCTTTTTCTTTGTTTTTGGCAGTTTTGGGTAGTTTTGTCCTACTTCTATGTCATAATCAACATTTTCGGTAATTTTTGTCCTAATAGATCCCTAAATGACCAATAAGAATTTCCACATCACAGTAAATTTGAACATCCACATCATGACTACCCGTTACTCAATACAAGGGCATGTTCACTTCTCTAGTTTGAAAAATATAAAAATAGTAAATGAAAAAGATTAACTCAGTTTGTTTCTTTTTTTTAGTGTGTGTTTTAGGTATTTTTTATATTGATAATATAAAAATAGTATTAAAAACTAAAAAAATTATGTTGAGATGAGACAGTGAATAATAAAATAATCTGAAAAAAAAGGAAACAAATAGAAGAAACAAAATAAAAAGAAATACATAACAAGATCATCTTGACGCACTTGTACATCCATGTACGAGAAAAAAAAGAACTAAAAATAATAGTACTAATAATAACTAGGATATTAGTCGTCTTTAGAAATCTTCATCTTTGCCATTAATTTTTCGTCGTTCAAAATCTGATTTATGGGCACTCCATTTTAAACAAATCGTAAAATGTACCAATGAGTAAGTCGGGTTTTAGAAAATTAAATGGTTAGTTTTCTTTTTTTAAAAAAAAAAAATTATAGGTGTTGATGTATATAATTTGTCCTACATCGCCACCATGAAGAGAAATGACTCAATATATAAGTTCTAAAGGTCACCTCACTCATTACCAATTGATTTTGAGATGGGAATCCCAAAATATTTATATACTATCAGGTATCGGGAGTTTCTTGACAAATTAGGAAAAATTAGGGTGTCTGAAGATGGAAGAACGGTCACTGGAATTCAGAGTTCAGAGGGATTAAGGGAAGCAGGAGGAGAAGAAGGAAGAAGATTAGAGAAAACAGAGAGTTGGTTAATTGATTTGGGCAAACAACAATTTATTAATCTTCGATAATCAAAAGCAATGTTGTTAAACTCGGCTTGGACTGGCCGGTCAACCGGTTAAACCGAGAACCGGACCACAAGTCGTGTCGAATGACTTGAAAAATCCTTTTTTTGTGAATCGGTCAAAACCGGTCAAAACCCTGAGTGAACCGGAAAAATCAGATTGAACCGGGTCGATCGGGGGTTTATATTTTTTGCACTTTTGGGACAAATTTTTACCTTTTTTTCCCTAGTTTTTCGTGTGTTTCTCCGTCTTTCTTGGTCCAAATATTTGCCTTTTATTCTTAAATGGCCCAACAAGTTTTATTCATGAATTAATTTGTCATCTTTGTCCCAAATTTTCTAGTTCAACTTATAAAACAACCATATTTAAATTAAAATCTTTTTTAATATTTTTTTCACATATGAAATCCTATTATTTTACACAAAATTTCAACTATACCTTGAACATGATGAAATTAAATATATATACATTTTATTAATAATAAAAGTTGATTACCTTGTATAACTTTATAAATTTTAATCATAAATAAATAATTTATGTTCATTTTTAAATTAATATACTTATCTTAAACTGTAATTACATGCTCTAAAGGACTATTGTTGCCTATTACCATAAGATTCATAAATATTAAGTCTTTTCAACTATTACTATATTTTTTAATTATATATTATTTATTACGTCGTAATGATGTTATTCGAGTCGACCCCCCCTCCCCCCAAGTCGACCCGAATCGACCCCTAAAACTCCTGACCCCTGCCCTCTCCGAGTTAGTGTCCGAGCCGAGTCTGACAACACTGACCAAAACTAGACTATTACAAGGTATTAATAGGAAATGTGTAATTGCTAGGTTAGTCTAATTACAAGATTATCTTGCTACTATTGAATATGACATTAAAACCCCAATATCATGACATATACTTTGACACGGTATCAGCCATCTGGGCATGTGGTAGAGTTCTGGGCCAAAGGTGATTATCATGCCTGGGGCTAGTTTGGTAATTGTGATAGTATGGGGGTTTATTTGTAAATTTGCATAACCAGGTCAGATGATATATATAGGTGGTCAAATGTAATAATCAGGTATCGAAAATCAGATTAATTGATTTTGCCATTCCCCCCTTTTTTCCTTCTCCGTTATCGAAGTCGTGCCCTGGTGGATAAGGAAATCGTCGTTCATTCACCTCCAAGAGAATATTTATAAAACCTACTTAAAACTTTTATCTAGTGGTAAGAGGGTTGTTCCACAGAGATGGCAGTCAACCACTCAAAATCTGATTAAAGTGCAAGAAAAGAAAAGGGAATGAGTTGAATAGATTTGTCACTTGGGGGAGTGAGAATACTCACTTGACAGAGTGAAGAGGCGGAAGGGTCAATCACTTTCCTACCTTTATGATCCAGTTTTGATTCAAGTAATCTTGTAGTGTATGATTTATTGTTTGATCATACACATATATTCTTTATAATTCCTCTTAGACAAGATAAGAGTCCTAGATTATCTAAATTAACTACCTCTCAATCAGTGTAACTCATTAATCTAAGTCATTTAGTTCATAAGCCCTCTTTGATCACCTATGCCAATCACCTAACTCTCGTTAATGATTGAAATAAAAGGGTAGATTTCCTACTCTGTCGTATATTAGATTTTCTCTTTTGTCATATACTAGATCTTCATAACGATACATGCACATTTAATTAAGTGACCAGTTTAATCAAAAGGTTAATTAATACACTTATCTAGACACAATGTCTCATCAAGGAAAACTGAATCAAAACTTTCACATAAAGATAGTAGGGATTGAACCCTTAACTGAGTTAGCTACTCATGTTTATTAAGTTAACTATGAGAGCAACAAAGTGCAAAATATAAGACATAATTCAAGATCAAAAGGTTAGTGAATAGAAGGGAAATATTGTAGCAGGGGCAGTTTCTGTCTGCTCACTATGGCGAGTGGCATTTGCCACTTGACAAAGTGACAGTCTACACTGTTGTTCCTACTACTATCCTGTTTCTAACCAACTAACTAACTACCTAACTACTGTCTTCACAACTGATCATGATCATTGCTTAATAAGCAAGGCTAACTTAGTTGCTACTCATTATTGCTTATTAGTTACTCATGTTTATTAAGTTAATCATGAGTTAGCCTAAATACTCATGTTAATTTAACCTTTTTATCATTGTTTTTTTAGCCCCCAATTCAGCCTCAATCTTCTGCCCTTTTCTTCCTTGTTTTCTGGGTCTCTTGTTATCTTTATACCATTATTCACCCTTCTGCAGCAGCCAATCCATCAACTCAGTAGCAGCATCAGTTGGCAAGTAGCAATGTTGTAGCTACTGTTCTTCACGTATATTCCCTCTTTCTCTTCTTTCACTTGTAGCAGCAACAACTTGCAGTGATGGAAAAGCAATTCCTTTCTTGGGTACCAAGATTTCAGCTCGTGGCTCCTCCTTGATTAACAGCAGCAATAGCTACTGTAACAGCAACTTGGCAGCAGAATAGTTGTCATTCTTCTCTTCAATTGAGTGTGCTGCTGTAAATTCTTTGTAATAGTGATCATGCTGTCATTCTTCTCTTCAATTGAGTGTGCTGTTGTAAATTCTTTCCAATTGTGATTATGCTGTCATTCTTCCTTCTTCAGCAAAAATTTCTCCACTTGCTTCTTCTCTAATCGACCCTCTAGTAGCTTGAATTCCAACAGCTTTCAAAGTTCCAATTCAGTCTAGAATGATGCTCTTTTGTGTAATTTAGCACTCATTTATGCTGATTTTCCAGATTGGCCCCTTGATTACCCTAAAATACAAAATCAACCAAAAAGTAAATTAGTTTTAACTAATTGACACCTCATTCTTAGTAAAAATGAGTAGAAATGTCTGCTAAAAGTGTATATATTTTACTGTTATCTTGCCCTAATTCCATCCCCTTCTGGCCAATCGAAGCCTCTCCGGTGACGATTCCGGCTTTACCATTTCTTCCATTATCCGGTCTTGACATTTGGTATCTAGAGATTCTCGATCCTTGGATCTGTGAAAGAAATGACGCCGTTCGAAATGTATTACCCGTTTCCTTTTTCGGGTAGGAACCCTATCGATTGGCTTTCAAAATTTAACGCGTTTTGCTCACAATTACGCATTTCTGAGGCGCGAAAGATTGGGGAGGTGGAGTGCTTTCTCATCGATGTGGCGGATTTTTGGTAGGAAGGCTTCAAGAATCTTAGAGGTAAGGTTTCGTGGGATCAATTTTCGGCGGCATTAATTCGAATGTCTGGCACCCGTAAAGCTGAAACTGAGGCCAGAGAAATCTTCTGGATCACAATTGTTGAGGAGTGTGCTTTTGATTCCGATCAAGATTCTGGCGACAAAGTCAATGACGACTCAGGGTCCGTGCTCAATCAAGGTAATTCCCTTGCTAAACCAAAAAGTGTCGAATCCTTGAATGATGATGATGATGATTTGTTGGTTTACAAGGAAGAGATAGATGACAACTCTGTGACTGGCATGAATTGCAATTATGTTGATGATAATTCTATGCATTCTATACCTGTTGAAAATTCAATCATGAATTTGAAGGTGTTTTCGGAAAATTCTAAGTGATGAATGTGTTGAACTGAGTCCTTTACTGATATATATGATGCCGAGTGGAATTACTTCATGGATTCGATTAAGGCAAGAAATGACCCTGTGGATTTAGTTAACAACGATGATAAGATGGAAGTACTTTCTGGAAGAATTAAAAGAATTAGACCATGGGATAGAATGACTACGTGTTTTAGTGGCGGGGGAATTATATTTGGTGCCATAGAAATTCCTTGTGTAGTTCATTTTGATCACAACCATGGACTTGTCAGCATTGACAGTGTGCTACAGCTGTATGGTAGTCATATTTTAGAAAGTAGCAAATCAGAAAGTACTTGGGAAGATTTGATTGACAAGCAGCGGGAAGGGTTAAATATGAAGCAGCAGAGGTTTATCATTAATGAGTATATTTGCAGTTTTGTATTTCAAGCCTCAGTTCGGGAAACAGGAAGGTTTAAATTGTGGCCTGAACTGGTATCTGGTTTTGGAGGAACATGATTCACAGATGTGGGGTTGAATTTGCGGTACTAATTGATGACAAGAACTTCATTTAGAGGGTTCTTCGGCACATATTAGCAGCTGTTCATAAGCAGATCGATTATTATAGCTTCTTAATAACTGATGATGGTATAATTAAGCACCAAGCTCCATTGACAATTAGTCATATTGATGAGTTAGTTGTTTTGAGACTTGGTGACGATACTAGAACATACAACTCATGGCCAGAGGTGGCTACTGGCTTCCAAGGTGGTACTGTGGGTGAGATGTTTTCTAATAGTGCAGTGTTTGATGTTTATCAGTTGTTTATCAGTGGTCAAAATGACCTTTTTGGTTTATCAGTTGTTTTCTTGTAACGAGAATTGTTTGATGGATGGGTGTGTGAAGGATCACGGTTGTGGGGATTTGTTGCATGGGAGCAAAGTTGTTATAGACTCATTTGTGCTAATCGTCCCTGATTTGTGTAAAGAGTTGTTATTCGGTTGTTGGTATCTTCTGGTTGGATCTATTCTTTACTGTCTTGTACTGAAGTTGTGCTCAGTTTCCATTTTTGGTTCTGACAAACTACAAGTTACTTTAGCCTTTTGGTGGGGTTGCGTTTCTCCGTTTGTGTAACAGCCTTGAGGGCAAGGTTGCTTTCAAGGCAGAAGGAAGAATGGAATTTTGGATCAGCAGGTCGGTAGTCACCAGTAATGAATGTGAAGGTGCTTTAATGGTGTTGGAAAGGACTAGTAAAAGGGATATTTCGTGCTGTGTAGTAGTTACTTACTTCAGAGGAAGTATTGTGTTGAAGGAGTTAGCAACTTCCAGCATGCAGGCCTTCTATTTGTTGCAGCTTATCAGTTTGGCTTGGGAAACGTTAAGACATCTAATGAATTGGGGAAGGAAGCAACATTTGAAAGTTTTTTGAAATTCGACATTTTTGGACTTTGTTGGAAATTTCTAGGGCTGGGAATTCCTATAATGATTATTACTGTGACTGGTGGTCAAGAATCGAATGAAGAAGTTGTTGAAGGAGCAATGTGTCTTATCATCAGATTTTGTGAGTTTCGGCTTATAGAATGGAGAATGCAATTACTAAAGGTCATAGTTTACAGCCAGGGAATGTCACTGAGGCATAACAGAATGATTACCAGTGGAAGGCAATGGGTCAAGTGTTGTCCTGGATGAAGGCAATGATCAAGACCCCATCCACCCACACGTTGATGAAAGAACTCAACAGTTGGGAGGCAATTTCAGGTGTTCAAAAAGGCATGATGATCATTGTTGCAGCTGGCTCATTGTCATTGAAGGGAAGGATGGTAGACTTAGTTTAAGATCAACTCTAGTTGCGGGAAAAGTTCATATCAGATGTGGCTGAAAATCAATATGGTCACTCATGTTTTGATTAAGTTTTTGATTTGATTTGTTTTTCTTTAGCAGTCTTGTGGTCAAGACTTTGTTTAACGGGGAGGGAATGTCATTCCCGGGACTAGTTTGGTAATTGTGATAGTATGGAGGTTTATTTGTAAATTTGCATAACCAGGTCAGATCATATATAGATGGTCAAATGTAATAATCAGGTATCGAAAATCAGATTAATTGAAAATCAGAACGATTATGCCGTTTCCCCTTTTCTTTATTCTCCGTTATCAGAGTCGTGCCCTAATTCCATCCCCTTCTGGCCAATCGAAGCCTCTCCGGTGACGATTCTCGCTTTTATATTTCTTCCATTAAGTCCGGTCTTGACAATGATCTGTGCATTGATTCGTGGGTTATTCTGTTGTTGTCCTGATCCAATTTCATTGGACAAAAAGTTCAAATACCCATTGGACTTCAGGGAGGGTACTAATGTGTATAATTTGTTATACATCGCCACCGTGAAGAGCAGTGACTCAGTACATAAATTCTAAAAGCCACGCCACTCATTGCCAATTGGTTTTGAGATAGGAGGCCAAAATACTTATATACTTTGACAGAAAACAATACATGTTCCAATTTATAGCAATATTGTAATATTGTAATTTCAATTTAGAGTACTTGTATACTAGGTCTAGTTTATAGCAATTTTCACAAAGTATATATTAATACAAGCACTGTAATGTCTTACACTTTTTTAAATACCTGTTCCAATTTTGATTCTCACTATTAGGAACCAGAACCGAACCAGGTTCCATTACATTTTAGAACAAAATGAAGATAGTTTCGGTTTTTTGGAACCGGACTCGGTTACGATCTGGTTCTGTTTAAAGCTAAACTAATGGGGGCAACTGTCAAGCACTTACCAATGACAATCTTATGTCATCCTTTGGTGCATTAGTATCTATTTTCTTTGTTTCATTGGTCAATTGAGAACTGAAATTGTCCTTGCTTTGCTCCTTGATTTTTCCCCACAGCACACAGTAAAGTCCCACCACCAATAATATTGCACCTAAAACGCTGCCAAAAAAAAAGAGGTGAAGTAATAGTTGAGTATAATAACTCCTCATTTCTGATCCACACAATAAAATCCTATTTTGTATATTTCTTATTGTAAAGTACGAGTTTTCTTTACTCTTGATCATTAATAAACAAAAGTGGTAATAAATAGTTCAAAATTCTATATTTTGTGTTTTTGAACTTAATTTGATTAATTTCGATAGATCATGCTTTTCTAAACTTCTCATCCTTATAAGTCTGAAATATTGGAATAAAACGATACTTCTCTAAGATACAAGAAACAAAGTGGAACCATGATTTAAGTTAAATGGGGCAGTGAATTGATTGATGTTGTTTTGTTTTATTTAATTGGATTATTATAAATGTTACCTTCCCAAGCTAAGTATTTGCCCAAAGAGAACGGCAGCTGCAAACACCGTATATATCAGACCCAATGGGGTCCAAATTGCTTGAAATACGGGACCTTTCTTTTGAACAACCCAAGCTTGTAAGAAGAATGTTATACCACTAATAACAATTCCCTGCGGAAAACATAAATTCCATATTCGCATATTCGTTCAACCTTTAAAAAAGATGAAAAAAAAGGATAACTAAATCTTGTCTAAAATAATGGTTTCATTTCCTGTAACTAAATCTTGTCTAAAATAATGGTTTCATTTCCTGTAGTAAATAAAATAATCATTATGGGAGGCTAAGAAAAATGTACTAAAGTTTTGTTACAAATATCTAAAACAATTTATAATTAGCTGGAGACTTACAGAGTAAGCAACTGAGAGAAGTTTCACGTTCCATCCAAGTTTCCATTCATTGGGGTTTCTTTCCAATGCTATGGCAATAAGGAAGCACTGGATAGCACTAAGGAAGCTCTGAAAAGTTGTTAATAATAGCCTTGAAGGGAAGGCTTCCAAGATTTTTCCCTATCACAAAATGGTTTATTATTCATCAAACAAAAACCTTATCTTAAGCTCAATTTCAGGCATTTACTTCATCTCTTCCAAAATTATAATTTAGTTTGGATTTTTATTTTTAATATAATTTTTTTTTTAAAATGAAAACTCAAATTGGACGATAATCTCGGGATGGAGGAAGTTAAACAAAATAAACTATATGTTAGACCCATCCAATAGACGGGGAGAACATACACATATAGTCATTATACCACAAGCAAAGTAAGAAATATTAAAATTTTTATAGATTTTTTATTTTTTATAAAATATATAATAACTTCATTAGAAAATATAAAACACAAACATCAATAACACTTTACCAAATGAATACGGTGATAATTTTATTTAACACAAAGAGTACAATTTAGAAATCTAGAAAAGAGAATTTTAAAAAACGATAAAAAAAATAAACTTTGAATTGAATGATTATATATTCTGCAACACTTCTTTATAGATTACATTTGGAATTGACATCACTATCTTTGTCACGTATCAAAATCTTTATCCCTTGTTTTGAAGCGAATATTGTGTTCAGTGCTTTTATTTTATTTTTTTTTAAGATACAATGCATTTTTGCTTTATTTTATTTTTGTTAACCTATTTATTCGTTTGATTTAGTTGTTTATCATTAGTTATCTAATCATTTATTTTATTTTAACTTACATGTTATCAGAAATATTTTATTTAAAATGTGAGGGTGGATATCTTTTCACTCTTTAAAGAATATCATTCGACTGTTTTTTCTCCATTAATATCCTTTTGGAAATTTTAGTTAATGTCAAAGCCATCATGCTCATTTTTTTATGATTAAAATTTGAGTTGAAAAGACACATAAATGAAAAGAAAAAAAAAATGTCTCTTTTAATTTTTAAATGGGGCCAACCACATGTGGTTTAAATGTCTCTGATTTTTTTAAAATTTTTAAAAGCACACATAAATATCTTCTTCTTTTTTTTTTAATATTCATATTGTGGAGCTACAGAAAAAAAAAACGGATAAAGAAAAGAAAAACCAAAAAGAACGGACATTTATTCAACGCTATCACGTCACTCAAATTCTAGCTAAATTTGGACATTTTTCAGTTGCCGACCGGCAGTGATTTTTGAGACGCAAATAGTCCGAATAGTTTGTGGTCCGCTTTCCAGAATGATTCGAAAATTTTCTTTGTCTTTTCTTATTGTTTTTTCTAAACATGTAATTTTGAAAATCACTTTTAAATCATTAATACGCGAAATCACAAAAATCAAAACAAAACAACCCTTTAACTTAACCAAAAAACATTATAGTTATTTTGGTACCTGAAATAGAAGCCAAAAGCTCCAAAACAAGTAGGAAACCAGCATTAAAAATACGCCCTTCACCCAGGTGGTGCTGGAAGAAGCAATATTTTGACCTTGATTTCCTTCTTCACTGTGAATGTTGAGCAAATGATTGTGCATCAACAATCTCAAATAAGGTGGCCCGTTATAGAAAGCAATGGTTATGGCTCCTCCTAGGCAAATTAATATTCCAAAAATCTTAATGATCCCAGGAATTGTTCTCCCATTTAACTTTTCCATCCTGAAAGAATATTAAAATAAACAAAAATTTAACCGAAAGATCTTTCGTATTATATTTATACATACGTTACATTCACTCTAACAAACTTCTAGCACATTTGACACGTATTTAATTATGACGGATACGTACTCTCTCCATTACTAAATGATTGTCCAATTTATTTTCAGTACAATTTGTACTGAAAGTGAAAAATCAAACAGGACACAATAATTTTGAGAGAGTATTATGGTTCAAACGTGAAAAAGTCATGATCAGAACCGAATCTTAACAATATGAGCTCCTTGAAGCATAAGAAAGTAATTAATTCACAAAAATCAAAATGAGTTAATTCTTTTAATTATTACCTGAATAAAACAGCAAGGAAAAAGGTGAAAACAGGAGTGGTACTAACAGCTGCTGCGGACAAGGTTGCTGATGTGTATTGAAGAGCCAGTGTGTTGACATTCCAACTCAATGTAATTCTACCCACGTTAAACTACGTCAAGTCATCACTAATATTGCAACCCAAAAATAAAAAATAAAAAACATCCATACATACAGAAATAAAAGGAGAGTCGAATCAACCCTTCCTCTCTTTAATTTTTTTTTTTTTTGTTTCCGGGATCGTTTCTGACAAGGTTTGAACTCCCAACCTTGTGGTCGGTAATAACTCTTTCTTAAACACTTAAATAACCCTCGCGAGTTTTAACCAAAAGGAATGAAAAAACGAACAACTTACCCAAAAAGAGAAAGCATACACATCTTGAAGAATGCCATGAATGTTAGAGGAGGTGCTGTTTTCCTAAAAGATGATAGAAGAAGTCCAAGTGATAATATACATGATATGACAACTGGGAAGAAGTCATTAATTTATTTTTTCTTTCTTCCCCTTTAATTCTAAAATGAAAATAAGACATATAAAAGTGATCGATTATTTACTTACCATTCTAGAAAGAGAGATATGGGAGCCAAGAAGATAGTTGCAATAGCTTGTCTGTAGAAAACAAGAATATATGATTTGAGGCCAACATTTAGAGCCACCTTGGAGATTATTTGCATGCCAGCATACAGTGCTTGTATCACAACAACCACTACATAAGGTTTATACGATGAATCCATCTTCAAAAATGTATTTTGGGTTTATAAGTTTGATGGGATTTTTCTTTTGTTGATGATCTACAAGCTAGCTAGTCAAGATAATGATCTGTTTCAAGTATACAAATATTGAAGTTTGTGGCTCTCTTTTACACATTCTTTAATGAGAAACAAGATATTTTCAACAAAAGCAATTTACTCCTATCAATTCAGGGATGTATCTATATCTAAAGTTAGGTTGTAAAATAAGATATATAACTCGTTGTTATGATCGAGATGGCCGATACAAAAAGGAACATCGATCAATAATAAGTTAACACGTGAATGATAAAATTGACAAGAAATAATGAAAAGAATTACGTGGATTAAATCACAATCATTTATATTTATACTTTTCATTTGGAGTTTATAAATTTAAAATTTATAAGATAGTTTAAATTGTAGACACATCATTACTTATAAATTTTATTTCTAATTTTTCCATTTATGTATCACTGCTCTTATCGTACACAATATTTGTGAGGCCCTGTCTACGGGTTCCCTTTGTTTTAACATAAATGATGGAGCTAGTGTCTATTTTAATGTTCGACTCTTTTCTACATATAATCTTAATTAATAACAAGATATTTGAAGTTAATGACAATATTTGTAGATTATATGGAACAAATTAAAAGAACGATTAGAAATTCTAATAATTAAATATAGGTCATGTGCTAAAGGTTGATAAATTAATAAAACTATTAAGATTGTATTGTAGGAAATAGGAGATACAAAGTCACCATTTCTATTGGCCTCCCCGGTTGACAACACATAATTCCTTCTCTTGTTGACAACTCAAACACTAATATAAAAAACAATAAAAAAAATTGAGTATTGAAGAAAATAGTCCATGCAACACCGTGTATCGACGGTAGGCCCTTCGCTTTGCAAGCTGGTCTGAAACATAATCCAGTAGGGAGGTAGCTAGTATTGAAGAACATAACAGAACCCTCATTGTGTTTATCCCAAAATTGGAGAGCCCTAACACAATCAAACAGTTCCGCCCCATGAGTCTATGTAACACTGTGTACAAGCTTGTCATGAAGGTGCTAGCTAATAGAATTAAACCAACGCTTCTGGAGCTAATTGGACCAGCCCAAGTAGGTTTTGTAGCGAGCCGACACATAATTGATAACATTCTTCTCGCGCAAGAAGACTCTATGAAAATGATGAAGGGAAGGAAGGGGTATATGTTGATATGGTGCGTTGGGACTTTGTCGAAGATACACTTGGCCAAGCGGGGTTTTCAGCAACCATAGTAGGGTGTATCACGAGACGTGCCACCTTGACCTCTATGCAAGCACTTTAGAATGGTGCCCCAACAGTGGAAATCAAACCATCTCGTGGCATTAGGCAAGGTGACCCGATTTCACCCTACATCTTCGTATTGTGTATAGAAAAACTTGCTCACATAATTCAAGAGAGGGCGAATAGGGAGAAATGGAAGGCACTACAGTTTTGAAGGAGGAGAATCAAAATCCCTTTACTCCTTTTTGCTGATGATCTCATGCTATTTTTGGAGACGTCAAATAGCCAAGCATCTCTGTTGAAAAGCATCCTCGTGCAATTTTGCCAAGCGTCTGGACTGAGAGTAACTGAGCCCAAGACCAGAATTTTCTTCTCCAAAAATGTGGGATCAGTGGTAAGGAGGGAGTTAAAGCGTCTGGACTGGTGGGTTGGAATGCTACATCTCTGAGTTTTGCGGGGAGGGTGACTCTGGTTAAATCGATTCTCACAACCTTACCGTATTACACCATGCAGACGGCTATGCTTCCGAAAAAAACGTGTGAAGGAGTCAAGAAACATTTTCGCCGTTTTATATGCGGAGGGAATGAAGAATCGACTAGAATGAGCCTTGTAATGTGGGAGGATGTTTGTCTATCAAAAATTGTTGGGGCGGGAGGGGGTGGGTTGGGAATCAGAAGGGCGAAGACGATGAATAAAATCCTCTTAATGAAGCTGGGCTGGGCGTTGTTGTGTGGGAAACAGGTCTTTTGGGTTAAGGCGTTGGAAGCCAAATATGGGCCGGCAAATTTAGAGGGTTGTTTTTTCAACCTCTTGTTTTACCTTTTGTCTCATTTTACCTCTTAAACACAAAACCCAATACACTATCCATACAACATTTTAACTTACCTCTTAAATAATACTCAAAACATTATTTTTACACAATGTTCATCCACCAATACCGGACCACCTCCACCACTGCCCGCCACCGCCAGACAGCCCCCCATGCTGCCGCCAGCCGGCCGGATTCCGGCCAATTTTCGGCGAGTTGGCCGGAATTTAGTCGGAATCTGGCGGGTCGGTTGCCACCTGACGGTGGCAGGTAGCGATCCGGCGATGGAGGTTATCTGGTGGTGGTGGAAAAATAATATTATTTTATTTAAAATATTATCCGAACAGTTTTTTATATTTTCTCTCAAACCACATTTTAAATCTCCGAAATCCAAACCAAAAATGAAAACAGAAACGCTGTCCATACAAGCCCTAAATAACCCAGGCATGAAAAAGTCCACCAACCCATCTGCAATTTTCAACTCCATTCGAAAATTTTGGAAGCCCCTTGCACAGGCGACCCAATGGAGTGTGAATGATGGCTCCCTCATCAAGTTTTGGACTGATCGCTAGACTCGAGGCATGGGCCCATTATGTGAGAAAGCCCGAGGCCCAATCCCAGAGATCCAATTGCTTTGGACGTTGAACAAATTGGCGGAGGAATGAGGAAATAGGAGATCTTTTTCAGCACCTTTTGCCAACAGTGGAGGTAATGAAAGTTCCGGCCATACGGCTGCCTCTACCGGAAAGGAGCATTGATAGATGTATTTGGCCACACTCCAGTACATGCGATTTCACTGCTTCCTCAGCCTACAAATATTTGGTGCAGGAGGGAACGAATCGGAATCATCCGCTATGGCTGGCGGTGTGGTCCTGGCCCGAGGAGAGAATCAAATTCTTCTTATGGCTAGTGGCAAAGGGCAGATAGATGACCAACCTTGAAAGATATCCGCGTATATTGACTGACTCACTGGCCTATCCAAGATGCGATGTAGCAGAGGAAACGATAATCCATATTATGAGTGACTGCCCATCATCGACCGCCATTTGGAATCGCCTTCAGCAGGGTAGTACTCAAGGGGAGCAGTTTTGACAGGAGGAGCTTAGATCCTGGCTATTCCACGATCTTTTGAATGGTAGTGCAGATCCAATGAACTGGGCAATCATGACATTCGGAATAGTTGTATGGAAAATTTGGACTTGGCGCAATGAATTTATTTTAAAAAATACTAGGAAGTATATGGACAGGAAAATATGGGAGATTGAGGCGAAAATTGAAGAAACAATGGGGCACTATCGCTGCAAAGAAGTATAGGTAATCCGGGCCACAAAGATATCAGAGATTGATTCGCTGGATGCCACTGCCGGAGGGAACTTATAAGTTGAACACTGATGGATCCTTCGAGGCGGGAATAGGAAACGCAAGAGCAGGAGGACTGATCAGGGACCACCTGGGACCATGGTTGGGGGGTTTTACAATGAATATGGGGTTTGCAACGGTCACATGGGCGGAATTATTGGGGCTTTTTCAGGGTCTCTTGCTTGCTTGGAACATGGGGCTACGCCAGATTTTGGTGGAGGTCGATAGAGAGACGGTGATTAAATGCATTGGAGAGGAACGACAGAATCCAAGACTACATGCTGGCGTTATTGCCGAAATCCAAGACCTCAAACAGAGGGATTGGGTGTTGGACATAAAACATTGCCAACGTGAAGCTAGCTTCGTACCGGACTGCCTGGCAGGTGTGCAACATCAAACGGAATGGGGATTGAGCTCCTTTGTGATCCTCCGCTGAAAGTGCTACCTTAGCTCCGTCACGACGTAATCGGGGTAGTTTACTCGCAGAATGTAATAGTGTAGTGTTTAGGCCATATTGGTCTCCTATCTCAGTAATAAAAAAAAAAAAGATAGGAACAAAATTAGAAAGCTCTCTCACTTCCCTCTAATACTCACGTACACATTCATTCTTTCAAGATTCCAGAATTCCTTTCCACCCGAATTCGATTACACTACCGGCCACATCAGCACCGGATCCACCCTCTCCATATTTCACAACCAGAATATCTCTTCGTCTTCAGCAGTATGTCCCATTTTTAACAATAATCAGCTTCTCCTTATATCTATCAACTTTGGCGAAATTCTGAGATAAATTCAACAAGAGGAAATACAAGGAGAGAGGAGGAAGGGCTGAGAAGAGGAGGAGGCCGAGAGAAATAAGAGGAAAAGAATAACACACATGCTTTATGGGTTGAGTCAACTTTGGGAATTGGGTTTGACTAGAGACCAGCGGCAAGCGGGGGGGCCATAAGGAGTGTATATTAGCTTTCAAAAGAGGTAAAGGTTCTAAGCATTTGATTGTCATATGATGGTTTTGAAGTATTGAACAATTGGTGCGTAGTTATTTAGCTAACTCTTTGACTCCTAAGTTGCATGTAATAAAAAGATGGTAAAGATTGTTAGTGTGAGCTTGAGATAGTTTAATTTTTATTCCAAGTTCAGCACTAGCTTAAAAATCATCAAGCATATTTGGAATTTGATACCGAAAGCAATCCCTATGTTTGAAATAAAAAGTAAAGTTCCAGATTCAGGTGGCCAACTTTGCGGCTTCGGATCTTCACAGCTTTACAGCTGTTTTTGGCCAAATTTTGAGTTCTTTTGATTGCCATACTTCATGGTTTATCCCACTTTTTACAGTTTGCGAAACAGCTATATAAATCTTCCAACATTTTGGTTAAAACATGACACGTTTACTGGTGCTTTTCTGGAAATGTTGAAAATCATATTTGAGGCACTCTGCTGTTAGGCCTTTTCTCATAGCTCTGGAACCCCTTTCCACGAGTTCTGATTTTGAAAATTCTACTTTTATTGAAGTAGTTTAACAGTTTTTATAGATTGCAAAATAGAGTTATAGTTGGGCCGAAAATTTGATTTGAACAGGACACACCACTTGCTGAAAATCTGTCTGTAGAGGCTGTTTTCAGGGATTCATTTCACCCATTTCTTTAACTTCTTTTATGAAAATTCTTTTGGAGAATGTTCCATATTGGTGGGAGTTTAGTACATATTTTGTGGATTGAAAATTGGTTTTATGGATTGCCCGGAAATTTAA